CGGGAGGGGACAGGCAGGACAGCTCAGCTGTGTCACCTCGCAGGTGCACTCCTTCAGAACAGGCTGTTCTTGCACTCTGCTCTGCTCTACTCACAGCTGAAAGTTACCAGGACCAATCAAAACACAGAGTGGATGTTCAAGTTGCATCTCTCTCCTTTTTTATCTGACCATTTTCCTCCAGTATTTTGCATTGGATTTGGAGGTATGTGAGATTGTCTTTTGTTGTTCTGTCCTTCAAACTAAACACACATGATGACATGTTGCTTCTTGTCCCTTGGCCCTTCCTCACACTTTGGGAGTTAAATGAATTGGCTCTTTAGTTTCCTTGTTCCCAGAAGTATGTCAAGCACTACAGCATTACTCATGGGCTCAGTACATACATGCCATTGCAGGGTCCTAGAGAGTAGAGATGACACCATCACTTGTACACATGAACAGCTCTGCATCTGTGCTTTTCTTTCCCCCCCATTTTTTGTGAGATGGGGGCTTGTCACAAGACCACTTCAAGCGTGTGTGAGATACTTAATAATATGGTAAATATACACCCCTTATCTTCCTTGAAAGGGAAGCTTTCTAAAATTTGGATGGTACTTCAAAACCATGTAGGTCTCTTCCAACAAAAAATCTTTTTGTGTCTCACTCAGATAGGCTTTGATTTGCACTACAATAGTAATGTGGTGCATTAGAGTTTTAAGAAATGTGTCCATATCTATTTCCTGGTCTCCCTCACAAAATATAAATCCCTGTTAACATTGCTATTACACAATGAAAGTCAGTGTCTGTTGAACTCAAGGTTACACTTAACCCATCTTCAAACTCATTTTGTGTAAATATGACATGATAATAAATAGAATAGGAGGGATTCACTAAAATGAACAAAAATGCTTAGGGAAGAGCTTAGGGTAAATGAATCGGCTCCTAACACAAAAGGAACCTGATCCTTGAGGAGATCTTCTCTTTAGAAGCTGGCTTTTTCACCAGGAGAAGCTTCTCACACAGCAGCTTTCTGGTGGTCTCAAAAAGATCTTTCCAAAATGCCTTGTTTAGTTCTCTGTTGGAATCTATAAGGTATTCAGAATCTTTTTCTTTCTCAGGGTTACCAGCTGATGAAGCAAATAACACTGCTTTGTGCCTCTGATCCACACATTTCTTGATCAACAGGTCTCTGATCACTGTCCCCTTGCATGTCCTTTATTTCTTTTCACAAGGGCCACTTATGAAGTAGGTTAGGACCCAATCTCAGGACTGACATTCACGTGTACAAATGTAACCAACTGATTGCTTTGTTGGAAATCCACCTAACACCAGAATAAAAGAATAAGTGTTCCTTCCTCTTGTTAAAATTTTTCTGCTCTACTCCCCTGGCACAGGGCTCAGGGATGTTATGGTAGCTATTCCAGGGTTAACAGTCTTTCTGCCCAAGCAGCCTCTGTTAAACGTTGGCTCTAGAAGGCTTTTCCTTTGCCTATTAATCTCAGATCTGGTGAGGCCAGTAAGGCAGTGAGGTGAGCATCTCTGTTTTCACAGTGCTAATCACAGACTTGTAAAGGGGGGGAGGCTGTTACTGGGCTCTTGCTCTAACACTGACTCTTTTCCCTGTACATAGCTATACTTTGACATAGTATTCTTGAACTTACAGATCAAAGAGAATTACCAGAATGATCCACTTGTGAATTGTGGGCCATTATCTGTTATTAACTCATCTTGAGCACTGTGGTGAGCAAACTGTAATTTACAGTATGTTATTACATTTCTGCTCACTGTGGTGTGCAGCAGCTGAATATGTGTGTGTGCTAGTCCATAACAAGTAGTAATCTTTGCTGGCTAATTCAAACAGATCTTTGCCAACCTCTACTAACGTTGATCAAGAATTTAATTTACTTCTAATAGTTTTGTTTTTCTGCTTCCTGCCCCTCCCACCCATTTAGGAGAGATTTCACCTTCTCCTTTTCTCTTCAGTACATGCTTGCTTCCAGGAAAACTTGGAAGTGCAGCAACAACCTCCTCCAGTTCTCTGCCAGATTTCCTTCAGGATTTAATGATTCAGGTGGCTTCATTTGCTAAATTTTTGCCAAAAAAAAAAAAAAAGTAAAAAAAAAAAGTAGTTCTCCACTGACACCACATAATAAAGTTGAGCAAACAGGAGGGCTGGTAGGAGACTTATTTTTATTGCCTGGCCCTGGTCACATGACAGATCAGGTTACAAAATACTAATACCCCTGCCAACTCTCAGGATCCACCAATTCCTCTTGCTACTGTTTTAATCCAACCTGCCTTTTCTTATTTTTTTTTTCTGTTTTTTTTTTTCTGTTTTTCCCTTTTTTCTTTTTCTTTTCTTTTTTTTTTTTTTTTTTTTTGTGAGGGGAAAGACATCAGACTGGGGAAGGAGATAGAGTGAAAAGTGAGTATATCATGATTGGGAGTATCCCTTTAGCTCCTTCAGTGTTTGTTCAGCACTTTTTCGCCAGCTGAATAGCTTATTCCCTCAGAGTGTTGGCAGCCTTTGGCAAAAGTAAAGCAATGTCAGCATTCCCCTGTTCCATCTATTTTTTGGAAAGCAATCGTTAAAAATGTTCCATTTTCACCTTGTTTGCAAGTTGTGATTAAGGCTTCTCCCCCAATTAAATTGTGACATTCTGGCTTGAAAAACAGCTTCAAGATCGGGAAGATAAGCAAGCACACATGCACACATGCAAAAAAAAAAAAAAAATCTTCTTTCTTGTGGAAAGAAATTCAGCAGTTCAGTGGAGCCACTTCTTTTATTAGCAGTGAGACAAATATATTTTCCAAAAAATTGCTGATAAAACAACAGATTTGGAAAACATAAACTTCATGTAACTCTCTGGAGTTCTTCACAGCAGTTTCCTCTTTGTCCCTTCTTCCAGCATACAGCAGAACCAGAGCTTCAGTGTGGAACTCCTGCAAGGAATGTGCCTGGAGAGGTGGATGCCCTGTACCTCTGTACAGTCCCTGATGGGGCAGCTGCACTGCTACTGACGCCTCAGCTACACCGAGATGGGCACCACGACGGCCGCAGTGTCCCGGGGTGGAGGTGCACCTCAGCAACAGGGGCAGTGCCTCACACAGCGGGGGGATGCAGGGGAAAATCCTCTGTGCTGTCCTTCCCACAGACACTGACGGTTTTGGTTGTGTCAAAGGTTAAAGAGAATAACTGGATATGTTTCTCCAGCTTTATAATGAAGAGCTGTGGCACAGAGCAGTTAGTGGCAACACAAGACTTCTCTAGTGAAGTCAACAATCAGAATTCAGGTGGCAGTGGTAGTCCCTGTGATTCGGCTACGAGACCACCCATCTTCTCTTCTGGCAAGCATTAGTGGAAATGTACTTCTGCCTTCCAGTGCCTGTGACCATGGTAGTTTCCAAGGGGGAGTGTGTTGCAATTGTTCTAGTTTTTCCATTTCTGCTCTTCTTTCACAAGTTGCCTATAAAAACCTGCAACACTTTTACATTGACCATGTTCTGGTCTCTCTTGAAAACACAACCCTGCTCTGATTTCTGACAAAACAAACTCTTGTAGTCAGGAGTGTGTTATGACTTCTCCAGTGACCACGCAGGGTTGGAGGAAGTGCGTGTCAGCAGTGACTCCATGCATCCACCCATCTTTGCTTGCTGTGCCCACTGACTGCAGGCTGGCAGGGGCAGGGACCATCACCACTACACTTCTACAGGGCTTTGGCCTTCAGTACTTCCAACCACAGCACTCATGGGGTCCCCTAAGAATGCTTGTTTTCAGGAGGCTTCAATAACACATATTCCTCCTTTTTCATGTGATTTTTTAATGCCATGAGAAACAATGGAATTTATTTTACCGAAGTCTTTCCTGCTTAGCTGCAAATAATACAAATGTGAAAGCATCAGGAGGATGATACCATCCACGATGTGGGAAAAGTAGTGCTGGGTCTCTACACTCCCCTTGACTCTGACATAGTGGAGTTACCTTAATAACCTGGTAATTTTCATAAACCATGGCCGTGTTGCAATGACCTGCTTGTTGGGCATTTGTTTCCTTGTTCTTTAGGCAGCTCCATTTCTGTGTGTGCAATCACAGCACCCTCTACTGCCTCCCGCTGAACCTGCACAGGACCGCGAGTAGCGGCCTTTAGAAAGGACTTTTGGAGTGACTAGGCTTCCTCGTTATCACGTGTGGTTTAAATTACGAAACAACACCCCCAGCATGAGAATAATAATCCAACTAGGTTCTGTCTAGAACGGAGACCAGAGCCCATATATGAACAGTAGGAATTCCCCCAGGGATTCAAGCACCTATCAGCCTGAAAGCAGTTTTTCCTTTTAATCTGTAAGGCATTATCTTCCACTTTTGTTAGGTCCATGAAGGAAAAGCAGATCTATTTTCCTAGTAATAAACACGAAAAGCCACTAGATCACGCGCTACTCCTGTGTGCTCCTGCACCGACTGCCACGGGCCTGACAGGAAACTCCCCTTTACAGACTCCAGCCCGCAGGAGCCCCAGGTATCCGGGCTGTGAAGCGCTCTCTCGGCCCTGCCAGCGGAAGGTTTCCCCTCTGCTGGTTTTGCACAAACCCCGGGGTCTGGTTCGTTTAGTCTCAAATCCCGCCCTTCACCGCCAGCCGAGCTCAGCGGGGCCCTTTGCACCAGTCCCGCCTCACGGGGGGTGACGGGCCGGTGCCAGGTGAAGCGTGCGAGCGACTCCCGGGACCCGGGCACGGACACCGCGGCTCGTGGGCTCCGCAACGCGGTCTCCAGGCCCCGGCAGCGGGCGGAGGAACCGCGCTGGGCCCGGCCGGGCAGGGGCGGGGCAGCAGGAATAGCGATGGGCCGGGCCGGGCAGAGGGCGGGGCCGCAGGAATAGCAACGGGCTCGGCCGGGCAGGGGCGGGGCCGCAGGAATAGCGATGGGCCGGGCCGTGCAGGGGGCGGGGCCTCGGGAATAGCGATGGGCCGGGCCGGGCCGGGCAGGGGGCGGGGCTGCCCTGGTCCCGCCCTGCCCGCGCCGCTGACGTGGCGCTGCCCCGCGGTGCGCGTGCGCAGGCGGCTCTTCCGGAGCGGAGCAGGATGGTGCTGCTGGAGAGTGAGCAGGTGAGGGGCCGCGGCCGGCCGGCAATGGCAGAGAGCCCCTGCGCCGCCGCGGAGCGAGGGAGGGAGGGAGAGCGCGAGAGAGCGAGCAAGCAAGGGAGGGAGAGAGGGGGGCCCGCGAAGCCGCGCGGAGATGCCGGGCCCGCACCGGCCCCGGCGGCGTGGGAGCCGCTGCGGGGGAGGGGAGCGGAGCGGAGCGGAGCGGGCGTCGCCGTTCCCGGGCACTCTGTCTCGGCGGGGCAGAAGCGCCGGGGCCGCGGGAGGTCCGGGGGCTCAGAGCTCGTGTTCGGAGTCAGAACCGCGGGCCGCGCCGCCCCCGGCTGGGACTTCGTGTCCTGCAGCTCCAGCGTGGGGAAAGCCAGAGTTCGCCTTCCCTCGGTGCTGCCTCCCGCGGGTGACAGAGAGCCCGGGCCCGGCCGGGGACAGGAGCTCGGAGCTCGTGTGGGGGCTCCCAGCCACGGGCGCGACTCTTTCTCTTGCAGTTCCTGACGGAGCTTACCCGGCTCTTCCAAAAGTGCAGGACTTCCGGGAGCGTTTTCATAACGCTGAAGAAATGTAAGTGTTGAGTCTGTTACTGGGTTGGGCTAAAGAGGTGTTAATATAAATCTGACTGCTGTCACCAGGTATTTTAAGCGATAAGAGCTGTAATCCAGGGTATCTGAAGACAAGAGCAGTCATAGGAAGAACATAGGAACAAACCCGTCAGCAGGAGCACTGATTAGCGCGATTACTATTAGTCCTACAACTGTTAGCTGTACGACTAATAGTACTAGTAGCATCAGTACTAATAACCTTTGAGTGAGACTGTATTCCAAACTGCAGGGCATTCAAACTAGGACTTTCTGATTGTTAAACAGTAAGTTAAAATCGTTTGTTTCCTGTAAAAGGAGAATTCTGATATTGTTTTTGTGTGTTCCTGTTCCTCTGGTTCCTGCTGGCTGGCACTACTGGAGAGGCCGTGTCAGGAGCCAGCAGGGTGACATGCATTTAAAGCATGCTGCTGCTCGAGCAGACAGGGCACATAGCACGTTCAGGGGAGGATTTACTTCATTTTTTCTGGTAGATGTAATTTACAGAACAGATCTTTCTAGGGTTCTAGAGTAAGAGCAATTTGGTAGCAGTATTAGTTCAGTTGGCCTGAAATTTCCAAGGTGTTCTACAGATCTGCTCATGAGCAGTTTTCAACACCTCATATCAGAGAGGCATCTGTTGATTTTAATGAAATGAGAATAAAAATTCTTTTTCAATGCAGATGATGGTCGAACAAAACCAGTTCCACGCAAAGGCCACGTAGAAACTTTTGAACCAGCAGACAATAAATGTCTCCTGAGAGCAACTGATGGAAAGAAGAAAATCAGCACAGTGGTAAGTGATAACTTTTAAGTTAGAAAAGCTAGTGGCTCTGTGTGTCTTTGATTTAATGCTCCATATTTTAAGTGAAACTTGAGAAAATGTTAACTGGTAGTTGAAAACCTGATGTGTGTTTACTTTGAATGGGGGATTGGGAAAGGCTTTAGCTGACTTTAGGTCTGTTCTGTGATACGACACAAAGAGAAACGTTACTTAAGAGAAATAGCTGAGAACGTGAGCTGCAGCATTTTTATGGCCCCACAAGTGAATCAAACCTTTCTTTGAATGCTTTTTCACATTTTTCCCATGTGAAAGCATGTGACTTAGGGATGAATGGCCTGTAGAGGGTTTTATTAATCATGGAGTGTTTTCAGTTTTCTAAATCAGTGGAGTCCTATGACATACCAGTACAGCACATTGACCACTGAATGTTATAAGTTGATCCAACTGCTCCTAAAAAGACCAGATGGTAACTGGTGGGTAAACATGTACTGATACTTGGTCTGTAATAGCAGCCAGAGTTTTTGTGGTTAACATCCAGTATTACTTTTGTAGGTGAGCTCAAAGGAAGTAAATAAATTCCAGATGGTAAGTTTTGTATGCCTTTCATCTTCCTTTTCTGTAAGTAGTTGGAAGCAGTGGGCAGCTGTGAACAGGTTGATTTCTTGCTGAACTGCCACAGAAACTTAACTGAGACTACCCATTTATCTTAATCTGTTTTTAAAAAATCCTGTTTTGTTTTATTTTATCTAACCTTTTATATTGGTTTAAACAACAGTATTTTCCTAGTGCAGGGTGTAAGAGCATGATTCTCTGGGAAAAGACAGATAATTGGCCATTTGTAATACATAAAATGTTATCTTGCATATTGTCATTTAAGTATTTGGGATTCTTTTAAATGGTTCTAATTGTTTTTTCAGGCATATTCAAATTTGCTAAGAGCTAACATGGATGGCTTGAAGAAGAAAGACAAGAAAAGCAAGGCCAAGAAGAGCAAAGCAACACAGTGATGGGACAGTGTGCTGCCATCGCTCTTATAGACTTGACCCTTGCTCAAAGCAAAGTCCATTTCTTTTTGAGTTACCACTTGTCTTTGGCTTTCCTTCCAGCAGGAAACTGGGATACGATCAGTCCTTTTGTTTAAACTGAGAGCAGAGGCGCTTTCTTTGGCTTGTTGTATGGCAGGAGGATGTACAGCATTCTAGTGGAACAGCTTTACACTCAGCTGGTTTGTACTTACACTGCTGCTGTGTTCTCTGCAGTGTAAAACCTGTCTGGGGGGGTAGCACAGGGTGAAGAGAAATGCACCCTTCCAAAAGCAAAACAAGACTGGAGCAGGAGCCTCAGTGACAGATGCCCAGTTTTATAGATGAGCCTCAGTAATTCTAGGGAAAGCAGGTGCCAACATATTATCAGGAACAGCTGCTTTCCTGTTTCTGTCTTAAGGGCCATGTCTACATGATGCAGTGCAGATATCACCAAGGCAGCCAGCACAGTGCTCGAGTTCCTGCAGAGCTTTCACTCCATGGTGCTCTAGGTGTTCTCACCTGGGCTCGGGGTGGCGGGAGGGTGGGACTCTGCATCATGCTCCCCTCAGACATAGCTTAAAAATGGTCATCACCTAAACTTCTTTTTTAAAAACATCATCCTTCAGTATATTCAGGGATCTGAATTTTCCTTCCTTCATATAAACAGATGTAAAAAGTAAAGATGTAATTGCTCCTATTAAAGATAATGAGAAATGGATTGCGTGCAATGGCTGATGTGACTTGTCCTGGTGAATTGCTAGGAATGGCACAGTTATCTGTGTCTTTAGGATTGTCTGCTGCTTTGGACATTGCTGTTAGAACCTTCACAGTTCCCAGTTTTGTGGTTTGTCTTGCAAGTTACCCCTATGCATTTTAACTTTGTCACCTTTGCTACAAGAAAGGGTAGAAAAAGTAGGTAGGTATTTATTAATGTAATAAGTCTGCAAATGGCAATCATTTGTGTTAGAGAAAGAGGTGTAAGTTTAAACAAAAGGTACCAAGTGGGGAGGGAAGGAAAACACCAGTGTACTTCCAGAAATCCTTAACATTTCTGTACTTTCCTCCAGTGTTTGATGTGAAATACAGTACATAGTTAACCATGACTCCTGTAAATCAGTTTCTCAGCTTCATTCTTCCTGATGGGGTTGTGCTACAGTTTAGCTTCAAGAAGATAATTATAATACTTCCATCATTACTATAACTTCAGACTTAACCTGACAACTCAGGTAAAGAAAGTTAGTTCAAAACTGGTTGTGCCTCAAGCACATGCAGGTTACTTTTTAAAGTCTTTGGTTTAGGTTCTGCAGGTCTAGAACAAGTGTTTTGTTTTATCAGGTCTTCATATCACAGAAGCTGCTCCTTGATTTAAATGCAGAAGTACAGACAGGACAAGCAAAGGCAGCCAGGCTTGTAACAACTCAGCCTGAAATCTACCATGTTTATACATAAATTGAGATAGTAGGTTAAAAAACACAATGAAAATCAACACACAAAAGGCCTGTAATGAGTATTTCAATAAGGCTCAGCAGTTTTTATTACATAAAAATTCCTCAAAAATGTTTAAAACAATTTTCATTTATAATTCTAGAATGGATGTTTCTTGTTGCAGTACTATTGTTGCATAAAAGGCATTCTGAAACAGTTTTTACAAAAAGTAGTTTTACATCTGTACAGCTGATTTGTGTAGCATAAGAGGCAAGAACTACATGGCAATACCTATCTGTGGCTCTAGTCAAGACTTGCTCCTTAATTGCGTACAAAACAACTAACTCCACATTTTGAAAGCGTTTAGTTTTGTATTTGTTGTGGTTTAGGAATGTCATTCTCTAGTTTAGTGCTCTGGTTGAATGCATGTGCCACCCACTACCCCCTCCCCCTGCAGGTGGCTGGAGAGGAGAATTGGGAAGCACAGAAGGTAAAGAGCACAGGCTGAGGTAAGAATATACTGGAAACAGCAATGAGATAAGAAAACAGTAACAGCAACAATACCAGTGGCACAGAGTACAGGAAGGGTGAACGAGTCCACAGAAACAACCCGGCCCAAGTGCTCCCTCTGCCACGCTGTGCCCACCTGGAATGGTGTGAGGTGGTACACATCAACCTCTGGGTTCTGGCCATGCCTCCTAGCTACAGCAAATATTAACCTTGTCCTGGCCAGAACCAGGCCAATAGCATACATGAAATGCAATCTGGACACAGAAATAGGCCCTAGTTGCCTGTCTTGCATTATTGCAGCTTTTTGAAATTCCATTTGACAAAACGGTGTTGTCCAATTGTAGAAGCATCCCATAAATGATGCTTTAAGTACTAAAACAAAACCTTGTATTCATCTCGGTAACTGTACAGGATAAGTGCAGAAACCCTGCAAAGGGAAGGAAAAAAGAATTTTAGTATTTTGAAACTGCAGGTTTTAAGGCTGCAATTCCTATGACAAATCCTCAGAATAAGATGGCAGCAAAGATTAAGCAGAAAACCAGTAAGTTTTAGTTTGTTTGGCTGTGACTGCAATTTTCCCCTCATCCTCTTTCCACTGACCTTGCCTGTTCAGTCTCACTCCAGTGATCTGAAGGCTTAGGGCTAAGTAGTGCTCAGGCCCCAGATGGGACAGGAAGATAGTGAGGGAGTGTACTACATCCATACCCAGCATTGCATGGAGTATTATTTGGGTTCTGTTGCTCACAGCCTTGCAAGTCCCATGAAGAAAAGAAATGCTTCACTTGATAATATAGCTGTCTTACTAAACAGCAAACCTGAAGCAATTTTGGTGCATTTGAGAAAAGGGAACCAGCTGTAGTCTTATTGAAAGGTTAAATAGCACTTTCAAGTGGAACAAAGGCATAAGTACCGAGGTCTCAAGTAGACCAGTACGTGCAGCATTTAACAATTTGAGATTTAAAACTGGACATAGTGGATGTGTCCAGACTATCTGTATCAGCCCTGCCAGAGTCCAACAGGCAGACTATGAGGTGAACATAAATGTTTTTATGCTTACAAATCAGAAATGGGCTTTACTGTCCATGTTGGGAGAGCAGACTTTATGTTTGCATGAAACTGGGCACTCTCCCACCTGTACCTGACTGCCATGGTATTTCAAAGCAGGAGGAGTTAAATGTATTCATGAGTTTTAAAGGACAAGCTGAGTCTCTCTCATCAGAAAAGAAGGCTTTTATGTAGCAGCATAGATGTATATATTATACATACATCTACATTTACATATATTGAAGTATATGTACTATATATAGCAGGATATCTGACTGTGCATAATTGTCTGCTATTCATTTCTACTAACAAAGCAAGTGAGATAAAAGTGGCAATATATCCTAGAGCTTCTTGAAAAGACTTAGAAAAATGAAGAATTTACATTTTATCAGTAAGTGAGGGTTAGTGACCAGTCATATACTTTTGAAGGAACTATACACATTTCCTGAGTGTTTCTTTTTGCCTCAGAGAGAGGGGAAAGTGAAAGACAAGTTAGGAGCACCTTATCTTCTAGTTTGAATATAGAAAAAAATGGAAAAATCTAGTTTATGTACCCATAAGAGTTTTAACAAATTTACCTCTTTTCCATTTTGAGACAGTAAATTTCATCACAAATTGCTTGTAAATATGAAGATCTCTGCTTGGGCCATCGTGACATCAGTTGTCTCACAGTAGCATCAAAGGCCTGTCTATCTCCATCAAGCTAAGGAAAAAAATTGACAAGGAGCTATGCTAGTCTCATACTCTTGTGAAGGAAATACTTCTAGTAGGATGCAGCCTTCTGAATACTGTGTAATGTCAATGCTCTAATTAAACAGCTTTCAAACATGATAAATGTCAACAACATGTGCAACCTAATTCCTAAAAAAATTATTTTAGTGATCACTTTCTTAACACATTTCAGCACAAGCAATGAAAAGGGCTGTGTCAGCTTGGCAGTGCTGGAGAGAATACAGTAACTGTGATGTAATGGTGATCGAAAGTGAATGATGTAAGCTGATCATGTGCATATGTATTTAATTTTTTTTTTAAGTAAAAGGTGATAAACTACCTCCATGATTCATACAGACTGGATCAACAAAGTATTTTGAAAATGTTTTGAAATGTTTCACTGGGTTTTAGTTACCAGACCAGCACTGCTTCAGAGCAGCAGATAAAAGGTATGAAAGAAATAAATGCACTTCCAGTAGGGTGCCATTCTTGAGTTTGGGTTTTTAGAGGGTGGAGAGGCATCTCTAAGCTAGTGCTGTCATTGGAGAAAAGAAGAAAGCTTTGTCTTTGGTGTTGTCATCTTTCATGCACCATTGCCCAGCTCCTGAGTTGCTAAAGGTGTCAATATAATAAAAATCCTTTTATGTCTTGGCTTTACTAAGGGATGTTTCAGCTACTGTACTTGAAACAATTGCTTTTGTATTTTGGGTTCTCCTTCATTAAGGGCTTCAAGGAACACCTCTGTTGTAACTGCTATTAATGCTTATTGGTTTCTGAAAAAGAGCAGTTAAGATTTAATTTTAGATAACTATTCTTGGGGGAAAAAAAACCTCAGAGCTTTGGATTAGGACTTTCTAAAGTTGTCTTGTGTAACTTGGACATTTCACAAAAAGTTTCTTGGTCAAGCTTCCTGGGTAAAAAAAATGCTTTTTAAAACCTAATTCAATAATTAGGTTTAAGTTTTAAACCTAATTCAAACTTGAAAGAAAAATCCAGAATGGGTGAATTTTACACTTTGCTTCATTGGGAACAGAATTTATCATCTATTGTGTTCAGTTAGAGTTCTAACAACATTACTTAATTGCTTACCTCTAATGATAAGAAGTGTATCACAGTTGCTTTTGGCAGATCAACCTGTAAAAATATCAAGAAATCAATACTTAACCGTTCTCTCTTATCAGTTTGCCAACTAGAGATGAGCTATACTGAAGGGAGCCAGATCTTTTGATTTCCAGAGAAGCACTCATGCTGCTAAAATGGGGAACTTAGTTTAAAATGATTAAAACCTTTTTAACCATTCTTGACAGATTCCATTATGGAAAGTTGCTCATAGGTGCAAGCAAACAGGCAGCTATGTTTCCTGAAAAGCATACACCATTTCAAAGTCCTTTGTGACATGGTCAGTGAAATCTAAAAGCCACATACAAACAAGAGCCACGTTTGCTTAAATGGAAGTGCAAATCTAGCAGGAACAAGTTATTGCATCTACCACAATAGCTGGTGTAATTACAGCTTAGGAGCTCACAACTAAATGCTTGTGATATTTTATTCCATGCAGCTGTCCCATACACACAATTTGAGACACTTTTCAAGTATCAGTGAAACAGACCAAGGGTCTTACTTAACCTGAAGTTTGACTCATTTGGTTATCACTAAAGTGAGGCAATTAGCAGTGGTTTGCTCAGATAGAAACAGCATCATCCACTGCAATTAAGGATTCAGAATTAGCTGAGGCTTCTGCCAAATACTTACTGCTAAAATCTCAATCTCACTTGTTTTTTGTTGCAGGCTGGAAATGAATGCCTGAAGTCTTGTTTGTACCTGGGAACAAAAGAT